TTTCCCTCTCTGCTTCCATATCTTTTGTGTAAAAGAGGGCGACTGATTTTTTGGAGTTGAACTTGTATCCTGCCACATTACTAAAGGTGTTTATCAGCTGTAGGAGTTCTTTGGTGGAGTTTTGGGGTCATTTATGTACACTATCATATCATCTGCAAATAATGAAAGTTAGACAACATAAGGGGATCAAGGGGATTCGAATTGGAAAGCACATGGACCTGTTAATGGTAAGCGTTGAGGTTCCTTTTCATTTTGGAGTGTTTTCCTCAATGGTAGAAAAGGCATAACATTTGTGCAGAATGATGCCCAGTCTCAACTATGAAAACTGAAAAAAAGCACTAAATGTGGTGTTAACGATACTTGGATCAGAACTGGTGTTTGATAATAAAAGTAGCCAGAACTGGAACTGTGTGAGACCCTGGTATTAATCCCCATACTGCAAAATCAGTCAATAAAAATAAATAGTAACTATTGTTTTACTTATATTTTTTTAACTGTTAATCATTATTATCATTTGCAATTTTCTGTTACTGCTACTAATAACAACATAGCAGGCACTGGGAAAGAAGTGGACATGAAAATAGAAAATAAGAATTTTCAATCATTACTCTATTACAATCTGGTAATGGGTAAATAGATTTACCATTCTCAGCCTCAGTTTCCTTCTCTGTAAAATAGAAATGATATGAAGTCTCTATTCTTTCCTTCTCAGATGACTATGAACATCATCTGGGAGAATGTTTCAAACAGTATAAATTTGTTAGGCAATAAAAGCAATTATTATTACTTTGATGATCTTTTTTTAATGTAGTTGTCAAAAGTCACCCTAATGCTAACTATGGTGAAGAGCATGTCCATAAATATAAGCTAGAGCCTAGATGGGAATATAGAAATTCTCTGTAAACAGGAATAATGTTTTACTCATTCCTCTACTAGTATACTACATATACTGTACTATCAGAATTCTGCCTTTTCTCTTGAGATTTTTTCATATGTAGCTCAGATTTGAACTGGCTCTAATAAAACATAATTATGGTAATTTTTGATTTTTTGCAAATTTCATACTTTCAAATATACCATTTTTATAATATTTACCACCTCCTCCCCATAACTCCCCCTAGATCCCTCTTTCCTCTCACTCCTTTCAAATTTGTTTCCTTTTCTTTATTTTTATAAAAACCTACTGAGTCTGATTTGTATGACTCATGTACTCCTGAGTATGGGGACCATCCACTAGAATGTGTTTGCCCTACCAAGAGCCATAGTGTAAAGAAAACTGACTCTCCTTTCCATAGTAGCTAACAGCTGTCAGCATCTCCTCAGCTAGGTGTGGACTTACATGCCCCTCCACTCTCTATCCGGGAATGTTGACTAGCTTGATCTTATGGAGGTCTTGTGCATATAACCACAGCAGCTGTGGGCATATGAGTGCAACAGTCTTGCAATGTCCAGAAGACACTGCATTGCTCTTATAATCTTTCCATTCTTTCTTCTGTAATGATCTCTGAGCCTGAGAAGAAATGTGAAACCATGAACACCTATTCTCTGCACTTTGACTACTTGTGTTTCTGGGTTAAATGTTATCCATGGAACAAATAGACTGCTCTGATGATATCTGACTGCTACATTAATCTGTGTATATAGAGAAAAGGATTATAGGTCAGTTTAATTCTATGTTTATTTATTGATAGCAGTAGGCTTTACCCCTTGACCCAGTGAACTCCTCAACCATGGATTTGAGACCATCCTTACTTAGTACCAGGCATGTGCTTCTTCCTCTTGAGACCCTAAATCCAATCAGAAAGTAGTTGGTTACTTCTGTTACATTCATGCCATTATTGCAACCATGATCATATCTTTCCAGGCCAGTTGTTATTTTAGCGTATAGGATTTACAACTAAGTATGACCACTGATAAATTTCCCCCAGCAGCCTACATATATCTTCTGGTATTATGAAAGCTAGTCATCAGACAGGAGGCTTCCTGATCAGTACTAACTTTATTTCTCCACATCCTGTGATCAAAGTACGTGATATTTTCAGCAAAAGGGTCTTACCATCAAGTTTTGGTGGGCAACCAAGAGCAATTGCAATAGGCTATGTTGTCCTGGGGTCTCAAAGACACTTCTGATCAACAAATTGAGGGGAGGTATCTCACACCAGACAGCAGGCTTTTTATTTGGTAAGTTATGGCTTCTGGAAAGAGCTTTATTCCCTGCGTATGGTGACTTCAATTAAATTATTTTACATATTTAGAAATCCTATAAAATAATAGATCTCCACATAGCCTTTTCAAACATCTTTAGTGTTATATTTCCCTACTTGTACACACTCTTAAGGAATGGATTTGGTGCTTATGATGTGAGCAAGCTTAGGAATCGATAGAAGGAAAGAAGTAAAAATCATCTAACACTTATTCATGCTTGTTTTGGATAGTATATCATCTAACTTTTTATAATCACCTTATGAAATGAAATTTTTATATACCAATTTCCCAAGTGAAAATTATAGTCAAAGACATTAAATCACTGTCCAAGTTCTCACTGCTTGGAAGTTTATAAATGTAAGTTTCTGTCCCACCCATTCCCATAGCCATTCAATCTCAAATAAACATACAAAGGCTTATATTAATCATAAACTGTTAGGTCTATTGCTCAGGCTTGTTACTGTCTAGCTCTTACAACTTAAGTCAACCCGTAATTCTTATCTGTAATTAGCCACGTGACTTTCAGTAAGAAATTCTCATCTTGATTCCTCTGTGTCTAGTCAGTAACTGACTCTCTGACTTTCCTCCTCCCAGAATTTTCCTAGTCTGGTTGCTCTGCCTATACTTCCTGCCTGTATAGGAATAGACAATCAGTGTTTTATTAAACCGATATGATTGACAAATATTTACAGTGTACAAGAGCATTAACCCACAGCAGAAATAGCAGAATAAAGCCACACATCCAGGTCTTCACAATTCTAGAACCTCTGTATTTTCTTCTGTGGCGTACTGTAGCTCAGACTCAAAATAACCACACAGAAACTATATTATTTAAATCACTGCTTGGCCCCTTAGCTCTAGCTTCTTATTGGTTAACCCTTACATATTAATTTAACCCATTTTTATTAATCTGTGTATGGCCACGTGGCTGTGGCTTATCGGCTAAAGTTCCGGCATCTGTCTTTGGTGGGGCTACATGGCATCTTTCTGTCTCTGCCTCATTTCTCCCAGCATTTAGTTTAGTTTTCCCTGCCTATCTAAGTTCTACCCTGCTATAGGTCCAAATCAGTCCTTTATTAAACAATGGTATTCACAGCATACAGAGGAAAATCAGCATACTAATATAACCTAAAATCAAGACTTGTTTTGATGGGGTAGTGACGAGACCAGTTTGATAGAGTAGGCTTGGTAGGTAATGTCCAATGATTATTTCTGAAACAATGATTTGTAGCTAGTTTAAAGGAGGCATTGAATTATGTTGAGAAGTTTGAACTTTATCCTGTGCATTTTAGGTTACTGAGAAGGACTTGAAGAAAAATAAAACTGTGTAAACTTTAGTAAATCCTACAGCAAGCAGTATTATGTAGATGGAATTTGATGTTTTTAATTTTACTTTAAGTATCTTGCAGAAAGAATGAAAATTAAGATCTAATATTAAGCAAATATCAAGATCTAATCCACTGCATTATTACACATATGGCTATATTAATATCATCTTCATTGAGACAGTACTTTTTGGTGGAGTTTTATTATTTCCTTCATTCTTGTTGAGACAGAGTCTCCCTCTGTAGCTTAGGCTTTCCTGGAACTCACTATGTAGACTAAGGTGGCCTCGAACTAATGTCAGTCCTGTTCCTTTAGAGTCCTCAGCACTGGAACCTGAGTGACCATGCCAAGCTTTATGAATTCATTTTTACTTTATTTCAATATACATTTTTGTCTTGACCTTGTCCAAGTTCTTGTCAGTTTATATGCAATATGTGTTAGTTACTTGTAAGAGTAAATTGTTTGGTTAGCTTTTGTAGTTCTGGCTGATATTTTGCTATGTATATTTTGTGCCAATTGGTTTTTCTTATTTTTTATCTTGGATGAATTCTTGTAAGGTTCTTTTCAAAGTGGAATTACTAGATAAACATGTATGAAGTATTTATTACCTATGCATAATTTTGTGTTACATCCAGATTGTTCCAAAATACTTGATAGGTATCTAGATAGAATTAGTCCAGTTTACCGTGCCACCAGCAGTATGTGAGTACCTGTTTTTACCATAATCCTGCCAGTACCATTTCATAAAAACTATTTGTTTATTTCTTCCAATTAAACTGTAAGCCAGAAATGTGGAGATAGCAACGTGAGGTAGAAGAGCACTTTAGTACTGAAAGGACCTGGAATTTTTTGAGGTTTATTTTAGTTTTCATTTTATGTACATATGTATATTGATGTGCACATGATACAGTTGCCCACAGAGTCCAGCAGAGAATGTTGGGTCTGGAGTTGCAGGTTTTTCTAAGCCTCCTGACATAGGTGCTAGGGATGCAGTTTGTGTCCTTTGGGAGAGCAGTAAATACTTTCAACTGCTGTCATTTCTCCAGTCTCAGGATCTGATTTTAATAGGGATGAATTTATCAAATTTAAGTTCCTCATCAATCATCTACTCTATGGCATTAATCACCTACGATGTGGCTGGCACTGTAATAAACATTACTAGTTCCTAACTTGGTCCCTTCGATCTCTATAAACAAATGTGTTGCAACTCTGAATTGTAAAGCCAAGGAAATGTAGAATTTAGGAAATTCGTAACAAATGTCAGGTACATGAAATTGTACAGTCTAGGTTGAAATGTAAGCTTTCTAAAGCGAGCAGCCAGAAGAATTTTAAAACAAAAATAGAGTTGTTGTTAGCTAAGAAGAAATGGGGACCAGAGAAGATGACCCAGCCAACCCCAGGTCATCTACTGACATTAAGTGTTCTATTTGGGCGACTATTTATGTCCTTGTTTTTGCTCTCTCTTTTAGGAGATACTGACTGTTTCAGCAAAGTTCGGCCCCCAGGGGAAAAGCAAACAATCATCCGTCCTCCAGTGAGACCCCCAGACCCTCCTTGCCGGGCCAGTGTTTCACAGAAGCCAGAACCAAAGCCAGATACTGTGGCTGGCAATGCAGGGGAAATCCCATCATCTGTGTAAGCAATGTTTTCCCTCAACTTCATCTAAGGCCTGTGCTGACCACTAGAAGTGCCTTTAGGGCCGCCGTCTCTGGTTGCTAAGTGTACATCATTCTCTTCATAATCTAGGAGACTATCTGGTGTCATCCCTGTGTGGAATATTCTATTCAGTATCCATAGTTTTCAAAGTCTTATATAAAGATCCATTTGTTCTTAGCTGCCCCGATGTCTGTGGAGGAAGAAAAATTACTTTCAGTTTTTTGCTCTAAAAATCTTTTCTTTATTTTGTGTTATTGCTACTGGTTATTCAAGTAATTTAATGAGCATGTAATTTTTGTCATTGCACTTGTGATTGGGGCTTTTTTCTTTCTTTCTTTCTTGCAAGGGTACATTTTTAAAAAAATATCCAAAATGACTCAGCTCCTCTAAAGGTCCTCTTACAGGATACCCACTAGGCCCTCTGGTTGGGGAGCCAGGGAAAAAGTAGAGCCAAGAAACCAGCTGTGCTTGGCCAAAGCTAGCCTGGCTGACCTCTCCTCATGCCCTCCTAAGACCCTCTTCCTGGACCATTAGCACATCACGTCCAGACCCTTCTTTTTCTTGTGTCTTTTATTTTCCATAATTGTAAAACTTAGGGAAAGATCAAAGCCTCCACAACTTCCACTAATTAGCAATGTGTATTTGCAAAGCTCCCTCAGTCACACTTTGAAACCAAAGACTTTTCATTTATTTTTCCAAAGACAGGTCTGAGTGAGTCTCAGACTTTGCCATTCTGGATCAATAGGTAGTAAGGGATATTATTTTGTTGCCCTGGGGTGCCTATGGCTCCAGAACCATTTCTCAATTCCGATATTCGAGTTTTGCCCTGGGCTTTTTGCGAGCCAGGGTAGGGCCTGGTATTGGTGACCTATCTGGTACTGAGTGTCATGTCCTTTCCATTGGTCTTTGGTTCTCACATGTATTCCACTGTAGCTCATCAGACTTGCTTGGCTTCTATTTGCAGGGTGGCATCCAGGACTAGATTCTTTGAAACGGCATCCCGGAAAACTGGAAGGTAAGAGACACAGAAGAGGGGCAAATGGTAGTATTGAATGGATGCATCAAGTGCAGCTCATCAGGTTTTGCTCTTTCCTCCTCCTTTTCTGCTTCTCTATAGTTCTTGTTTTCTCCCCTCCTCTCTCCCTTTTCCTCTCCCACCTTTCTCCTGCAATTATCGTAGACTGGCTTCTATTTCTTACCAGTGTCCTGTCTTTTTCTCTTGCTTGTTCTTACACGTGTCTCTGCCATTCTCAGTTTGTCTGCCACGTTCTGCACTTCTCTCTCTGTGTTCTCTTTATACCATCCTTCTTGCTTTCCTTAACTTGGGTCTCTGTTGTCTCTTTTCTTACTCATTTTTTCCCGTTTCTTCTGCTTCTCATTCTCTTTCACAGACATACATGTGCAGGGACTCTGTTGTATGTACACACATGTTGTCCTAGCTAGAGTTACTGTTGCTGTAATGAAACACCACGACTAAAGCAACTTGGGGAAGGAAGGGTTTACACTTTCACATCATAGTCTGTCACTGAAGGAAGTCAGGACAGGAACTCAAGCAGGACAGGAGCCTGGAGGCAGGAACTGATACAGAGGCCATGACGGGGTGCTGCTTACTGTCTTGCTCCACGTGACTTGTTCAGCCTGCTTTCTTATAGAACCTAGGAGTACCCACAATGGCTGCTACCCCCAATCAATCACTAATAAGAACATGTTTTGCACACTGGCCAAAAGCCTGATCTTATGGAGGCATTTTCTCAGTTGAGGCTCCCTCCTCTCAGATAGCTTGTGTCAAATTGACATAGAACTAGCCAGCGCACATCCCAAAGCTATGCTGAAAAAAAGAAACCTTGCATCAATGAAGGTCTTTTTGTTGCTATTATTTTACTTACTTAGACATCATAGTGTATAAGGTCAGTTGACAAAGGCTTGTAGAATATAGCATTCTATTGTCTCTGGGTTCAGAGTAAGTGTGGCTCCCATTTCAAAAGTAAGTAGTTGACTAAATGATTCTCAAACTGACCATCCATCTAAATCTTTTGAAAAATTGTTTTAAAAAATCCTAGATTCCTGGCTTCTCCTCTACACTCACTAAAATTGATCTTTTGACTGGTACATGAGAATCCATTATTTCCTCCTTTTGTCATCCCCCTTCCCTATTTCCTTTCTCCGTCTTTTCCTTCTGTTCATCCTTCCTTCTATTTGTTTTTAAATTTTTTTTTCCAAATGCTGGTACAAACTGTTCAAGCTCTGGGCATTTGGGAGCATTTGCACAAAAGCATCCAGAGGAATGGTTGCTTAGTCTTCAAGGTGTTTGCTGTGAGTTTGTTTCATGTGGCTAATCTGAGAATTTTTTTTAATTGTGCTTCTTGGCCAAGAACAAGGGTTAATGTTTTTAGGCTGTCAGCCTAAAAATGGAGCCAGGATAGGTTTGACATTCTCTTCCCAATACCATGAATCTAATTCACCAGGATGTGATTCCACATGGCAAGTCACCACAGGCAGCTCTGGGATCAGCCAAATTCTGTTTAGACAATAACTTATCATTTATTTTTACCAGAACAGATGAAAGTGAGGCTAAATCCCTTATTTCTTTTACCAGAGGATGGAAAATGAAGAGGTTTCGGAGTGGAACTGGGAATTATACCTCAGTGCTGAAGTATTTGTACACATGCTTGAAGCCTTGAGTTCCACAGAGTGGGGCGAGGCAGAGGGGGAAAGAGAGGTTCTTTAAATAGAGTTACCTCCTGTGAGTGACACTACTTCCTGGCATTTTTTTTCTCCCTCCCTGGGATAAAGAAATCCTTTGAGAAATAAACACCAGAGAAATTGAAGGAAATAAACTGGAATGAACAAAAAGAATCAGGCATGTTGAAGAGTTAATACATGAGCTGGGGCTTGATCAAATAGAAATACACAGCAAAATTTGGGGATTGATCTGTATCTTAGTTCAGGCTGTCAAGACATTAAGAAGGGAATATTTAAGAGGCATGAACAAAGTCTAGTAGAATTTCTAGTGAAGGCTAGCTTTCAGTAGGAAAACCATTGCCAAACTGATGTTGAGGGCATGGAAAGACATTAGCAAGGGGGTAGGATTTGTCATCCAGTGCTCAGGGCAGACTTAGACCAAGCACAACGCCGGAAGGCCTTGTCCAAAGCAGGCACTTCAGCCTATGCTATTCTATCCACTCTTTATCTGGGCAGCTCAAACCTAGCCTTAATCCTGTTCTGTGTCCTAAGAATCACCTTGGAAGGAATGTAAGTAAGGCTAAAACATACCGGCCTTCAATGTACCATCTTGGCTAGCTGTAGGTTTTTCTTACTCAGAAGCTGCTTAGGAAAAATATTCTTCCTACCTTGAATCCACCACTACCAGTAGTGTATTCACAGGCTGGCCACTGAGCAAGACATTCCCAGTCATGTGGCTAATCCCTTATATGGTCATTGTTGCCTACCTCTTCGATCATCTTGCCTTGCCGCTTTCAGTTTTGCCTTTGCATGCTTGACTGTAGCCTGCTATTTTGATAGCATCTGTTCCTCATTCTCTTGCCCTCTTCAACAGTTAAAAAGAAAAAAAAAACTCAAAGGAAATATTATTAGAGATTTGTCAGGAAGAAAAAGGAAGAGAGAATATTCCATAAGGCAATGTAGCTTCAGAAGTGATTAGTGTTCCACTTTGTCTATAATGTAGGGTTGAAAAGAAGAAAGCTTAGCTGAACGGAACACCAGGAAAATGGATTAGAGCCAGACTGGAAAGGTCTTGTATGACATATTAAGGTGTTTGCTCTTTGTATTGTAGTCTGCTGGGGGCAGGCCGTTGAAGATATTTAGGTAGTTTGCACATTTTGAGCTGGCTGAGTTGTAAAAAGATCACTCTGGTGGTAGAGATGGGAAGCAGGGAGACCAATTAGGAAACAAATCTTGCTGGCAGGAGCTGATGGAAGGTCTGACCTAAGGTGTTGCAGTGGGAATGGAATACAGGGGCAGATGTGCGCTCGGTTCCAGCAGACCCTGCTGACTTTTCAGATGGGAGGTACTGTGGAAGTGCGGAGAGAGATAAGTCTAACTGGGGAAATTTGGTAGCTGGCACAACAATCAATCATAAAGAAACAGGTTTTGTAGGACATTTGCTGTGCTCAGGTTCAGACAGTCCCTGTGAAGACACTGTGAGACATCCAGGTAGAGATGCCCAGTGAGTAACTGCAACTTAAACTAATTGTCAGGGTGGGGCCTGTACAGAGTTAGTAATAGACATGCTAGGGACAACCAATGTTTTATAGAATTCTAGTGTGGGGCATAACATATATACTGTATAATATGAGTAGTGACACTTTGGAAGAAGATTCCCAATAGTTGGTGGTAATTAACACCATGAATAGGAATAAGATCATTTAGGCAACTAGTTATAAGTAGTTTCAAGAGATGAGAGAAAAGTAGAAGGCTGTGGATATAGCTGGGGGAACCAGCTGTTATGTGGGATGCTCTGGCTATATTGGTAGGAGATTTCTTTTCTATGGTTGTCTCTTTCTCCCAGTTCTCAGCTGAGTATGGAAGGCGAATTTAGGGCTGATCAGCAGGCTGACCAGAGCTTGTGTGGTTTTTGTAAGACCAAGGAGGACTTATGTTTTACATGGTACTGTCCCCTGCCTTCTTGTCCTTCTAACCAGCAGTGATAATCATGCGATGTGAACTGTGGTCTTGGGTCAGATTTGCTCTTGTGTCTAGTTTCCCATAGTCTACTACTCAAAAAAATTGTTTTAGCTCCTGAAAGGTGGTTTCATGTCTAGAATAGTGGGTTCTCTAAACCTTCCCAACCTAGAAGAATGGAACCAAATGCAGTAAAAGATCTGAGCAGAATAATTTCCCCCTAACCAAGTGACTTGTTTACCATTAACCTTTTCAGTCCTGACGTCAAGGGCTTCATTGAGCTCTTTCTTTTGCCCACAGCTCTCAAGGAAAACTTCCCGGAGATGAGAGCTGAGGCCACAGGTATGTTGTTTCTACCCTTCATGACAAAACGTTCAAATAAGCCCTTTTCATGGCTAGGACTTAGAAGACTAGATTATCACACAAGTCCAGAGGGTAGGAACTTACTCCATGTCTCAGTTTGCTCCCCTAAAATTACATACTTCATTTGTGCGGTTTCATATGATTTGCAGCTTTCTTTCCCTGCCATTTCCCCCTCCACTATATTACTGTAAGATTGCTTTTCAGCCGAATTCATTAGAAATCCCAGACTGAATATTTTGGCCAAGCATGTTTCCTTTTCCAAATCTCAATTTCTGTTTGTAAAATGAGACGATGGACCTGCCTGCCTCCGCTATTGTTTGAGTCTCTAAGGATGCAAGTGACTTCCTCTTTGATATTTAGAAAAATGTCAGTGTGTCTATAGTGGGACTTCATTCCTTGAGACCAAGTAACTACTTCAGTTCTTCCCACCTGAACCATCCTCTGTGGTCCTTTATGTTCATTTGAGTGTGCAGAACTTTCATATCCATGATCTCATTTGATCCACATCCCATGCCAGAAAGAAGGAGGATACTATGTGTTCCAACTCAACAAACAAAGGAACTTAAGTTCAGAGGGGATAAGTGACTTGCTAAGGTCACAGGAGGCTTGGGGGTCAGGGAAATGGCCTTCTCTGCGTAAGACTTTTGATTGCTTGGTTATCAGATCTCTGGCATGACATGAAGCAATGTGAACATTAATGAGGTCCAAGTATCTGGAGTTTGGCTTGCCATGTGCTCCTTAGCCTTCTGTGTTTTCCTGCCACTGCCGGTCCTCCATGGCCTAGAGATAGATAAGCTGCATCTTATCAGCCTTAAGAATGAAGGCCTGGGCAAAGGAAGTTTGGAGATACCGACAGGAGCGCAAAGGCAATGACTAAGATGCAAGGGAGGAGAATGGAGCAGCAGGCTCAGAAGTTTTAGTATCAGGATTTTGCTTCCCCTGTTGGTAGATTGTTTTAGGGAATTGGAGGTGGGGTCAAAGACAGTCTCTAGTCCTATTTTAGAGCAGCCTTGACCTGCTGGTTGGGGTCTAAAGTACAAAGTCCCTTTTCCAGACTAGGTACTAGTTAGGGTAAGAAACTAGAGAGACCTCCCCCCCCCCACATTCTAACACCTGTTAAATATTCACCCAGGCTTACCTAACTCAATATATTTTTTTCTTTTCATTTTAGGTTTGAAAGGACTTGGCCTCGAGGGACCCTTTCCAGGTTGGGGAAGGGTCTACTTCAAACCCATGTGAGCTATTTGGTGCTGAAGAGCAGCTCATTTCCGGCCTCGAACCCTCAGTGTCTGGGAAGCTATAAAATAGGGAGCACATGTCTGAGACATGTGTTTGTTTCTCCTTTGTATTCTCTCTTCATCTCCCCAGAATGTCTGTTGTGAGCAGCTCCAAGGACACTGGATGGCAGGATTCTCTTAAGCTCTAAGCTCTACCGACGTGACAATACCCACTGACCCGTATTGAAGAGGGGAGCTCAGCTTTCCACTCTTCTCTGAACTTGTTGTCTCCTCAAAGGTCACTGGACTCTGAATGATTCAGGGCTAAAGACTGATCTTGGGGGCCTCACCCTGATCTAAAGGCCACCGGAGTTGGGGGCCACTGTTTACCTTATTTGGAAGGGACTAGGGATGTTAGCTGAATATTGGAGAATTGTGTCATGTCTCTTTCTGAGAATACGGACACTAACTAGTACCAGATTGGCACTCTGGTACCATGACATGTTAATGATATCCAGTGGAGCCAGGCCGCGTGGATGATTCCCACACAGTGTCCTTCACAGTGCTAAGCATGTGTTGCATGTCAAAGCCTAGGCTGTCTGGATTTTCCTTTTTCCTACTTTCACCTAATAGCTTCCTTTCCAGCAATCAACAAATAAAACAAAGCAGAAAACGTCTTTGTAAAAAAAAATGGGGAGGGCCAAGTGTTAGGAAAAATTGTTAAGATTGACTTCAGTACGAGGAATTGTTGCTGTTGCTTCTTATTTGCCTCTCGCTTACTTGTTCTTTTATTTCTTGAAGAAAAAGCAAACAAGCAAATCTTATAAGCAAACAAAACTAATTCTTAGCCAAGTGCCTGTGGATTCTGGAACTCCATGATGCCCCCAAGATGACATATACAATTCCATGAGGGTAATGCCTTTTCTGAGCAGATGGTTCATAACATTCTACTGGATTTCAAATGGGACTGCAACCCAATAAAGGTTAAGAACCACAGCCCTTGAGATAAAAGACTCTTTACAGCCCATAAAGGGTTGGATTAGAAGGAACTTTCAAACGCATTTATACTAACAACAGCTTAGTTTACATGACGAGCAAGTTAGCGACCACAAGAGGACGAGATCCCAGGTGTCTGAACTCCTACATAAGGTTCTTTTTAGTACACCACATTTATCGAGGAGGGGGGCCTTCTAGGTGGTGGCTTTAATGGTTCTTTTGGGATGTATTGGCTTTTCTCTTTCTTGAGCCTCTCATATTTGCCAGCAAGTGGAAAAATCAAGCTACAAGCTGCTGGTCCTTTCAGCACTGCTGGAGTCACTGAAAGTGCACTAAAGCGAAAGCGGTGCAGGGAGTAGGAAATCTGAGGAATAGACATTTTTGAGGCCTGGTTTTTAGGGTGTTGGTGCTTCTGCTTCTGTGCAGATGCCCGGGCCCCGGCCTCTGAGGCTTGCGGGGCTCTTACTGAGTTCTGGTCTTAGAGCTGTATCCTCTCTGTTAATGTGGGAAAAGCCAGTGTATATGTAGAACTTGGTCACTGGAGTGAGCCAGGATCCATGAAGGATTAGGAAGTCAGTTTGAGTCTAGTTTTCCTCAGGCAAAAGGCCGTGGTAAACACTAAAAGTCTTAGAATACTATGGAGAGGCAGAGAAAGACACTGCAATCCCAATAGAGGAAGTTTCTAGAAACTTTGCACTGTGATTGCTATGTTATATGGGACATGGATGAAAACTCAGCTGAGAAGGAGGGGTCCCCAGCTTTGGAGGCCAGGGAGCAGTTGCTGGGGCGGTTTTACTTCTGCATCAACTCCCTTTGGAGAATGAAACAAAGTCTCTCCCTTTGACAACCTGCTTTAAAGAGCAATATGGCTGTGGTGAAGCATGCTGTCGTGAAGTGAGATTGGCCTGGTCCATCTCTGCTTGATACATAGATGCTCACTCCAAAGAGGGTATCAGAAGAGGCCATATGTGCATGGATATCTCTGGGAAATTAGCAACAACCCTAGCAAATAGGTGAGAGAACTGTTAAGTCTTGAACTGATAGTGATGACAGAAGCGCCAACACTTATTAAGCACCCACTGAATACCAGATACTTCAAATACCTTAGATGTCATCCTAATAAGAATCATGCAATTACTCAGCTTCTTGTACAGACTAAGAGGGTACCCAGTTGTGTTGTTACCGGCTCTAGTACACAGACATAATGTATACTAGAAGTGTGATTTCCATCCTGACCTTTCAGAATTTTCACCCTCTGCAATTTTCCCTATGTCATTCAGAGGTAGGTAATTTAGACGGAGGACACATTGCTGGAGGTGAGTTGACTCTTGACTCCCATACACCTAACCAATATGGAAAGGAAAGCAGTGAGGGAGGGAAGCGGTGCAAGGCCGCCTCGTAAGGGAGTAGACCACAGGCTGAAAGATAATCCCTAGTTGGGTTTTCTTTTCCCTCTGAGTGCATCAGATTTTTAATATGTTTTAAGAGATCATCTAACCTCACCTTGTGAAGTGAAGAATTTGTTGTGATCAGTAGCTGTGAATTAGTCGCTCTAGTCACTTTCCAGAGAGAAAGGGTCCTTCCAGGTGTGGCTGTGTTTTCCCAGCACATCCCTACCTGTCACATGTACAGTTTGATCAAGAAGACTGGTGATATCCATGCACGCACTTGGAGAGAACAGAAGTTCTCTGTGCCTTTGTGGAATTTGATGCCCTGGAGTCACCTTGCTACAAAGGTTTTCCATGGTGAAAGCAAAAATCAGGGGTCATTTAATAAAAAGAAATTTCATTGAATTTTTATATTTCAAGTTGAAAGAGAGGTATTAAGAAGTATCCAGCCAGCAAAGGACAAAAACTAAACATTCAATTTAAGAAACAAAATAGTGTCGTGTAAGAGTGCTTTGGAAGTAATGGGCTACAATAGGGAAGCATCTTCCCCTTTTCAAGACATTACTTTATTCTGTAAGAACTACAAAAAGTAAAGGAAGTAGTTCGGCAACTCATGAAATAATTACTTTTGAAAGAACATGGACCAGGGAAGCTGTTATTAAAGAAGGAGCAGAAATTGACCTTGACACATTAGACGCCTACCTACAAAAGCTTTAGCGACAACAGCAACGGAAAATCCAGAGTGAATCTAAATAACTTAACAAGATAGTGTCAATGAAGTAAAGCCTTCATTTTCATATGAAATTGCCTATATGAACTATGCGTGTGAAATAAGAGAAAAGAATTAGATCCTTGAGCCCACTCGTGATTTTCAATTAAGTGCAGATTCTCTTGAATAAATGTCCTCCATCTGCAGTCTCATGATAGAAACAATCTTTCAGCATATCAGGAATGATGGTGCACCCACCATCTTCCTCTTACGCTGTCTTGTAAAAACATTCAAAGAGAACTCGGCACAAAATGTTTTTGAACCCAAGAGTCTTAATCTATTCAGCTTTGCCATTCTCTCGGGCTGCATAGCATCAATAAGTGATAGCTAGCAAGTCTGTCTTGTAGGTAAGGAAACTTGAGGTCCAGGGAGGTAAAAATGACTTACCCATAAGAAGACTCTAGAAATTGATTAAAGTCCAAGATTGGGAACTGCAAATGGCGTTCTATTTACCACAGTGCCACAAAATTAGTAGTGAAAACAAACCTCTGGGCTAGAGAGATGGCTCAGCCGTTAAGAGTATTGGTTGCTCTTCCTGGGGTCCTGAATTCAGTTCCCAGCACCTATATGACAGCTCACAACCATCTATAAGTATAGTCACAGGGGATCTAATGCCCCCTTCTAGTTTGCAGAAGTACACGCAGACAAAATACCCATATGCAGAAAATTCATAAATAAATAAATCTTCAAAAGAAAATGAATCCCAAATATAACTAGAGATGTTTTGAAATAGGATTAATGAAAATATCAGTTTTGGCCTTAGCATTACCTGGTGACTCGTTAGAAATGCAGATTTCTAGGATCTACCTGAGACATCTGGAATATGAATCTGTATTTTAACAAGACCCCACAAGAGAGTTGTATGCACATTAAAATTTTGAGAAGCACTTGGCTCATTCTACTCTAATCTGTTGAGAGTCCATAACGCTCTGCTTCTTTCATTGGTTTGCACCTGGCCTGCGACTGTGTTGACAAGTGAATGAAGTTCCTCTATGTCCAAGAATAGCAGGCCAAGTCCAGGGAATAAGCAGACTGAAAGTGGCTTGGCTGTCAGACTGTGCAAGGGAAGCAGTGCACAGACATGTGGCAGTTGGAAGGAGCTTTTCAGGAGCTCTGTGGTCGAGACTCAGCTTTGTTACATCCTCTCTGAGATGCTGAGCATGCCATGCACTTCGTCTCGTCTACCTTTTGTCTCAGGGGGTCTTTTCAACTTTCAGACTCAGGCCATGATGTAATGCCAGTGGGCAACTCTGCTGCTCTTCAGCCAGGTTAGCATCGTCATTTCACAGAAGAAAGGCAAGACTGGGAGGACATTTTAATCATAGCAAAGGAATGGTAACAGAAATTTGCAAAGACCAGGAGGAGCCTAGCTCGTTAATTGGCTGCAAATTAGTTAATTTTCAAATTCAAGTATAACAAAGGATGCAGAGTTTCGAGATTCAACTGCTTTCAGGCCACCTACTGGATGAATCAACTTGTATCGTGGCTAAGGCTCTGCATGATTTAGTAAAAACAAGATTCCTTGCCTCAGGTTTTTGGGGATGCTTTGGCAGTGGGAGAAGAAACTTATAATCATTGTCTGCTGCTTACCCCTCCAGGTGAGTCTAATGCCCAGTATTTGAGAGCCACTGGCTTCAAGGTAACTTCTTACAGGTGGAGAAACAAACTCATCGAGGGTGAAGGACTTGCCTAAGGCTGTACCCAGGAGTAGAAACTACCCTCCTCCCTTTATAATACCATTCTACAGGACTTCCCTTGGGTGATCTATTTGCCACAGTCTAGACACCTGCTCCCAACAGCGAGCCACCCACACAGAGGAGGTGTGCTGTATTGTCATCTGGGTGTTTTGTTTGTCTCATACGCCGTGCTGTTTCTCTAGAGGAGAAGAGGCAGGCCTGCAGACCTTTAGTTTTTCTCCTGAGAAATGTCATGAGCTCTAAGTTCTTGGATTTTTGCTTGTAAACCTGGCCTTTAACTGTCTCTCCTGGTTCAAACCAGATTGATTATTTTTCCTGTTGGAGTATAGAAAAGTTTTGTGACTTAAAATTTTGCAGAACAGTCTTGGGTTCTTTCTATTATTTTGTCCTCACATCAGCTGCTTCAAGAAACAAAGTAGTTCTCAGTTTGACAGATTTGGGCAACCTGAAATACAGCAGCACTGTGGTAGTCTTTATGGCTGTTCAAATGACTGGTCACAAGTTTAGGGCTGGAGAGATGACTCAGAGAGTACGAGCACTGTTGCTCTTCTAGGGAACCTGGATCCAGTTCTCAGCACTTACATGGTGGTTCACAACTCTCCAGTTCCAGGAGATTTGACTTCTTCTTCTAGCCTCTGAGGATACCAGCAAACATGTTGTGCACATACATACATGCATACAGGTAAAAACATGCACAAAGATACATCCAGTATTTTTTTTATCAAAAATTTAGCACTTCATCCATTCATTGTCACTTCACTGTCCCTGTTGGTCAGAAGTTTTCCTATGAAATACTTGAATTCTCTGAATGGTTCTCATCTGAGATACTCTTTTGAGTTCAGTCAAGGTTGTTAGAATAATTTAGCTTCTTCTGTAAGACTGGAGTCTTCAATTATTTTTAGCTTTTTTATTTAAAAATTTTTGACATACAATATGCTTTGATCATATTCTTTCTCTTTCCTAGATATTTCCCAGATCCTCGCCCTCTTCCTGCCCACCCAATTTCATGCTCCCTTTCTCAAAAAAAAAAAAACCCATAAAACAAAAAATCCAATAAGACAAAAATATAACAAAACAAAAACTCTCTCCATTTTTAAGCCAACTGCCTGAATCCTTCTTGAATTGTTGCTGCTGCCTTTTTTTTCT